CACAATGCTCTCCGTGTCTACTCAAGTCCCGTTGAATTCAGTGTCACTTACTCACGAGTAAGAGAGTATAGGACTGCAACCTAAAATGTGCTTGGTCTGAGCCGAGGGGACTCCTGTTGCATCTTGGGGGCCCGATCCGCCTCCAACAGCCGAGCTATTTCGACCGAAACCGGCTTCCAATATCCAACTTTCCCCGGTTGCTTCGGGTGTTGGTTTCAAATGCCCCGAAACATCTCCGGCGCAACAGTTTTGTGGATCGCTTCTTTGGCGTTTTTTGGTAGGTTTTTAAATCCACCTTTTTTTCTTCTCCTGTGTAGAGTCCTTAAAGTGTTTACCTCGGGATTGTCTCGCTCGCGTCCAAGATCGCAGCCTGGAGGCGTGGGAAGTTTGGTCGGGGCATATTCACCCCACGCGGTGGGCCAACTATCCCGGGGTGAGCTCTCTCTTACCCCGGAGTAGCCTCGCCGCCGGCCATCAACCTGCCAAGAAGAATCTAACTAGACTTCAGGCGCGGGTGCGTGGTTAGCGTGCTGTTCGGCGATACACTACCTGAAATCGGTTCCAAAGGGCGGGTCGCTTCGGATTAAGCGCCCCAAAGGCAGCTCCAGCGCCCTAGGAATATGTCTTTGGGATCCCAACTCCGCCGCCTCTAGGACTACAAAGACATTCATCTCCCCCTAACTCATTTCCCTCGCCTTTCCTTCTTAAACCCTGAAAGCGGATTCCAATCCTACTCCAACATGACCGCTCAACTCCCTCCGCTTCCTAATGGAATGAAACTAAGCGAAGGAAAGGAGCTATGAGAAAAGTACGTGATGCGGGTGGTAGTGGATCAGCAATCCTGGCTGCCGGTGGAAATAATTCTCAGGAAATACACACGACGCTTTGCAGACCTTTCCCTCTGGATCCAGCACGCAGCTTGGGAGCCGAGTTGCTCCGATGTGCTGAAACCGGTTTACACAGCCCTCCGCGCTAGGAGACTTTGGACAAGGAAGAACCGGGATCCCGCGGAAAGAGCGGGCACCTCTCTCTCTCCATCACAAGGAAGGGGCTAAAATTTGGATTCTCCTGGCTTCCACCTCTTGCGGTTTAACCGTCTCCGCCGTCGTGAGAATCGTCCTCGCCACGGCCCCCGCTCTGCTCCTTAGGTATTCCCCTGAGCTGCTTTTTATCCCGATCCTGACCTCTAAGGCAACCCTCCGTCTTAATCTGGAGGGATCTTTTAAAGCCGCCGATCTCATGAACCCATACTTGGAAGAAAGCCCTCATAAACTGAGAGGGACTTACTCAAGAGTAAATCGGCAGGGGCAAGAACTACGAGATAAATGCCCTAGGATCGTGGCCTTTGGAGACGGTTCCTACGCGCCACTCTACTATATATTCCTTGCCACCCTCCCTTGCGCCCTTACATAAACACGGATACACACACTCACACGACCATTTTTGAGGAGGCGCGCGGATAGATTAAAGAACCGAAACCAAACCATCCTTATGATAAACCAAAGTCTAGGAATCTAAGCTCTCCTGGCTCAGATCTTCACGCAGCGTTCAAAAGCAAGGCATGAAGGTCTTTCCTCTTTGCCTGTGGTTGATTCCACACACCCCCCATCAATATTTTCTACTCAACTGCCTCTGAACATGGAGGCTCCATTGAGATCCCGGAAAATTGTCTCACCCGTTTCGGTTAGGGTCCTTTTTGTTTGGGTGTGTTTGCGCGCGCGCAAGGGACAATGTTGCCTGGACTACAACCTCCCCGCGCTCACAACACGCGTTCGGAGCTCCCTGCCGGACCCACAAGTGCCCCCCTCCCTCCCCGCGCCACCCTAACCCGCTTTACCTCCTAAATCAGGCTGCTGCTGCTGCTCCTCCTCACGCGTACATCTTGCGGGTCCTCCTCCTGGTAAGGAGAGAGATTGAGCGTCGGGAAACCATCAGGCATTTACATCCAGGCGGGCAGGAATTCGCTCGCTCTCTCTCTCTCTCTCTCTCCCGGGCGGCTTCTCTCTAGCGCAATTAAAAAGGCAGCCTCTTCTCTTAGACGCCAAACGACGCTCTGGACCCCGGACGGGACTGAAGCGCTTGTCAATTATTAGCCTCCGCCGCTGGAACAGAGATTCCAACCCCCAAGTCCGCCCAGTCCTCCTGCTTTTGCCAGAAGCAAAGGCTGAATCTCTGCGCTCTGCTGAACGCTTCTCTCTCTCTCTCTCTCTCTCTCTCTCTGCCTCTGAACTCTCAGGCGGACCGAGAGGAGAACACCCAGTGGGCACGGTGACGTCACCGGCTCCCGCACACTCTTCCTCGCAGGAGGAAGGGAAACCTCGCAGAGAAGGCGGCAGGCCAGGGGTGGGGTAGGATAGGGAGTGGGTTTGGGGGTGGGGGAGAGAATTCAGCGGTGCGATCCACAAAGCGATCGAGCCGAAGTCATTTAGCTCTCTCTCTCGGCCGGTTCCAAGAGTCGGCTCCGCGTCAACCCTGAGCAGAAAATCCGCTTTGGCTCCGGATACTCCGGTTCCTGCAAGCGAGCTCATCCCGTCTAGCTTCCTCCACTGAAGATGAGGAGCTTAAAAAATAAAATAAAATAGGACATAGGTCCTCAGCAGTGATTTTCACTGAAAATCAATGGGGCGTTCAACCCAATACGTTTGTAAAGGGTGTCCGTTTATGTTACTGGCCTATGTGAGGCGGGCATGGTATAATTTATTCCCTGCCTCCAACTCAGTATATCAATGTATTGCATTTTAATGGGGGGGGGGGAAATAACTGTACAGATGAAGGAAATATCTGGGCGTTAAAGGAGAGTGGTTCATTTGATAATTATACACGTGACAGCGCTCCAGCTGTTGTTCTTCGGAGTCAGGCTAGGACGACTGTGGAGGTTAACTTCAGCCCCCTCCCTCGCCCCCCATTGTTAAATGATCACTGAACCATTATTCAGTGTAGTACAGTACAAAATTATTATTTCGAAGATTTGCAAGTTTATGTTTATATATTGTAAACCGCCCTGTGATCTTCAGATGAAAGGCGGTATAGAAGTTATTATTATTAATAATAATATATAATCAAGGTAAATAGAGATTCACAACACCATTTTATCAAAACAGGAGGGCAACAGACATAGAGCACGATCCTATGTGAATCCCAAATTACTGGGAAGTCATAGAATTCTAGAGCTGGAAGGGACCCCGAGGGTCATCTAGTCCAACCCCCCAATGCAGGAATCCTGCCTATTGCCTTCCCTGAGGCAGGCTCGAACTACCAACATTTTGGTTAACAGACAGATGTTAACAGATCTATTGCGCCACTTGTGGAGACTCATTTCACATTGGGAAGTCCCATTTTATTGGGAACCCTTTGAATCGGTTAAATGCTCGTGAGTTAATGTGTCTGTAGGATCGCGGTTTCTTTTTGTTCCCTTGGGTTGAAGAGGGCTCCTCCCCAGTTCAGGGTACGGTCAGAGCCTTGCAGTCTCTTGGCTTTGCGTTCCTAGACAAACTCGGTGGCGTTTGCTCATATGAGTAAACATGGAGAGGACCAGGGTTTGCTCCTACTTCCTGAACTTTGGGAATACACTTTCACTGAGTTCAGTTCCCAATGAATAATAATAATAATAATAATTTATTTATGCCACGCCCATCTGGCTAGGCTTCCCCAGCCACTCTGGGCGGCTTCCAACAAAATTTTAAAATACCGGAATACATCAAACATTAAAAGCTTCCCTAAACAGGGCTGCCTTCAGATGTCTTCTAAAAGTCTGGCAGTTGTTCTTCTCTTTGACATCTGGTGGGAGGGCGTTCCACAGGGCGGGTGCCACTACCGAGAAGGCCCTCTGCCTGGTTCCCTGTAGCTTTGCTTCTCGCAATGAGGGAACCGCCAGAAGGCCCTTGGCGCTGGACCTCAGTGTCCGGGTAGAACGATGGGGGTGGAGACGCTCCTTCAGGCAGTGGCGTAGCGTGGGTTGTCAGCACCCGGGGCAAGGCAAGTAATTTGCGCTCCCTAACCCGTGGATTTGCGCCCCCTAACCCTAACCCCCAGATGTTGCGCCCGGTGCGGCCGGCCCCCCCTGCACCCCCACACTACGCCACTGCCTTCAGGTATGGCACAGATTCAGGGTTTCCACTTCTGTGTTCTGTGAATGATGGCAGTTTAGACCCAATGAGAAGAGGGTCCTGTTCTCCTGCTCTGGAGGGTAGGCTTCAAACTACAAGAAAGGAAATTCCTGCTCAACATCAGGAAGAACTTTCTGACAGTAAGAGCTGTTCAATGGTGGAACGGTCTCCTTCAGAAGGTAGTGGATTCTCCTTCATTGGAGTTTTTTAAGCAGAGGTTGGATGAGCAAGGGAACCGCCAGAAAGCCCTTGGCGCTGGACCTCGGTGTCCGGGCAGAACAATGGGGGTGGAGACGCTCCTTCGGGTATACTGGATCGAGACCATTTAAGGGCTATAAAGGTCAGCACCAACACTTTGACTTGTGCTCGGAAACGTACTGGGCTTGTGTTGCCTGGCCATTCCCTTCCAAGGCCCAGTAACCTCCCCGTTTTACCCTAAACGAAGGACATGGGCTATTACTCTCAGGCAGGGAACTGTGCATAAGAGTCATTTAAGATGATGAACTCTCCTTCCTTGGAAGTTTCAAAGCAGAGGATGGATGGCCATTTGCCATGTATGTTCTGATTGAGATTCCTGCATCGCAGGGGGTTGGACCGAATGACCCCCCCTCCCTTCCAGCTCTACAACTCTATGGTTCTAAATACATATTAATAGGGTTAGGGTGCAAGCGTACTATTATTATTATTATTATTATTGATTACTATTAATAGTAACGATAATAACAGGGGCCACATGACCTTCGGTGTTTATTCCGCCTCCCCAGTCGCCTCCTCATTCCTGACCTCAACAACGACAGAATAGGGAAACGTGCACGCCTCTTCCACACAGAGACGCAATAATGGAAACAGAGTCCAAAGAGAGAGAGAGAAAGAGAGAGAGAGAGAGAGAGAGAACACAGGAGGGTTGAAACGCAGGCGAGCAGCGAGGTCCTTTCAAGCAGCGATAATGAAGAAATCCTAACGCGAGAAGCAGTGAGTCATCTTTAATATTGTTATAAAGTCGGTGGCGAGAGCCCATGGGGTTTCCAAGCGCTCACCCAAAGTTGGTGCTCCTCTGGAGAATTGAAGACATGGCGGAGATTGTCCTAGCTTTAAGATACATGGTTTATTCACTTATTTACACCTTCAGTCTGCATGGAAGGGGTGCAGATGTTACAGCATGGTCATCGCAAGAGGGGTTTGCTCTCCACAGCAGTGCAACACTCCAGTCCAAGGTTCAATCTCTCCTCATTCTGTTGTTCCTCAAAACTAAGCCTCCTCTGTTCGGTTGCATTCTAAGAGTCAGTTCTTTTGGTGCTTTGATGTACTAATAGCTAATCCCCTCAGGTGCCACCTAACCAAGGAGTTCCGCTGACTTCATCAGCACTTGCTGATTGACTAGGATTAAAGACTGGTACACATTTAGGACATTTACATAGGTTAATTAACTCTTCGAATGCTAATTAATTACTGGTGCTCAGAAGTAGGTACACGCATTCCAAAACACGTGGATCTCGATTACATTCTCAAAGTCTGACACAGTCTTTACACATAAACACTAATTGAACACCTCAAACCCCTTGGCTGACTTCTTTCCAAGACACATTGAGACTGCCTCATAACATCTCCCAGTTATAACATACAAGTTCTAATTATATCCTAATATTCACCATACCTAAACATTTAGCACCGTGGATCTATTTACAATTCAACGCTAGCAAACGCTCTCAACCAGACCCACCCCTCCCCCCCAAAAAAGGGCCCTCAATTTTGTTATGAGAAGAAAATTGACCTAATTCACAATCCATGGCCTAATCATTTAATGGGGAAAGTTGTAAGAAGGAAATGGAAATGGTCAAAGTAAGTATTAGTCCCTATAAGAAATAAGCTTCCCTTCTCCGCCACAGTAACCGAGCCTGCAGAATAATCGAGGGTGCAGTTATTAATGGTGTGATTCTGACTCCGAAGTAAATCCGACGGATCTTCCTTCCAAATCCACGTGGGAAGACACAGAGGTAAACTGGCATGAAGAATCATCCAGCAATGAAACTTCTAGCACATTTGCAAAGCTAAGCAGGGTCCGGTATGGTTTAAAATTGGATGAGAGGCTGCTTGTTGAGATTAATGCATTGCAGAGGGCTGGACTAGATGACCCTCGGGGTCTCTCCCAATTCTACAATTCTATGATTCTACCGTTCCAAAGGGCTTACTTTTGTGTAGGAGGCAGCCAGAGGATCAAGGCAGCCTCCTCCTTCGAGAAACAGAGCACCAAGGGAACGTCTACCCCATCCATGCTTACTCGAAAGCCACACTGAATCCAATGGGGCTTACTTGTGAGTAAGTGTGTTTTAGGAATGGAGCCTTCAGGATTTAAATTCTAGCCCAGCTCTGTGGCAAAATCCAAGAGGATTTATTCTTATTCTTTTTGGGTGGGGGGAGGGGAGGGGTAAACGTGATTCGGATTGGCACCTATTCGGATTGGTGGTCTCGTCCGCCCTCCGCCCTCCCCAAGGCAATCAGTATTGCTCGCACGCCCCTCCTAATCTAAATCTCAATCACTGAACGGTATTCATTCCCGCGCGTTGATTTGTGACTCGGCTCCATTGAACGCAGCCGGATTTGCTTACGGGTAAGCACGCGCAGAGAGGATCGGGCCGGCAGCAGCAGGTGAGGTGCTGCCGTTCACTCTTATGGATCGGGCACCTTTGCAGTCCGTGGGTGCCAAGCTCGTTCCTCAGTAGGAGAATTTCCAAGTGGATTGGGCCCAACGTTTGAAAAAGCCTGGCTAGTACAAAGTGATCAAGATGCGTTGTTTATGAAAGGCGGGCGGTGGTCTTTATCTGCAGGCAAATTGTAAAACGCCGAGGTGTGTGAATAATTATAATATTTCCCAACATGAAAATAAGCCAGGCTTTGGAAGGGATAAGGAATTCGGAAGAGGGAGAGGAAACAAATTTGCCATTAAAATTAGGCATATCCTCTCTTCAAAGAGGTTCTGCATCCATTTGTGATTCCTCCTCAGAACACACACACACATTCTTTTGATTGAAACTGCGATCCCGTATGCTTTTTCTTGGGAGTAATCTTTCCTCTCAAGGATGCCAATAGTTTTACATCCCTGAAATCACCGGGGTTGGATCCTGAGTCACAACAGTGCCATCCTCCTCATGGAGGCTGATTCTGAAGTCAGTCTTCAGGAAAGGGTGGCAAACGTTCCACCAATTGTGGGAATTGTCTTCCTTCCAAGTAGATTCCACTGAAATCCAGATCACTGGCTTCCAATATATTAAAGGTAAAGGGACCCCTGACCATTAGGTCCAGTCGTGACCAACTCTGGGGTTGCGGCGCTCATCTCGCTTTACTGGCTGAGGGAGCTAGCATAAAGCTTCCGGGTCATGTGGCCAGCATGATTAAGCAGCTTCTGGCGAACCAGAGCAGTGCACAGAAACGCCGTTTACCTTCCCGCTGGAGTGGTACCTATTTATCTACTTGCACTTTGACGTGCTTTCGAACTGCTAGGTTGGCAGGAGCAGGGACTGAGCAACGGGAGCTCACCCCGTCACAGGGATTCGAACCGCCGACCTTCTGATTGGCAAGTCCTAGGCTCTGTGGTTTAACCCACAGTGCCACCCGCGTCCCTTTCCAATATATTGCTGATTATTAAATGATAACACTTAAGTTTCAAGGTATGAAAGTCTATTGAAATCCACACAGCTTTTATTTCATCTGAAGGCCTCAAATTGACACCAATCTGATCATAGGACCAGGTTCTCTGCATGTACATGACCTGCATGTCAAATGGCTTAACCAGCTTGTGGATCTGGCTTGCTTACACCACACACAGCCTGCGACACTCAGAAAGTTTGCTTTCTCCATTGTGCCCACCACCATCACATATCTTAGGCACCTATTTACTCCAAAGTAAGCTCCATTAAATGGTATTTGCACTGGCGTAAGGCTGCAATCCTGAAAACAAGTGGGGCTTCTGGAAAAAAACATGCATAGTGTTGTGTGTTTTTTTAAGCATTCCTTAAAGGCCTATCCAGACATCCTTTTATTGTTCACGATGATTTGTGCTATTGGGGTGGTTACACATATCCCACTTTCACTACACTTTGTACCTGCAGAGGTCACACTCCTTCCTTTCCAATAAGCACATATCCAGTAACTTCCTGTTGAAATCTCATAACTTCCGGTTTATTTTTGTCCTGCTTTCGTTACCCTATAGCGGCCATGTCCAACAGGTAGATTGTGAACTACCGGTAGATCACTGGACATCTGTGGTAGATCACTGGTAGATCACTGGTTCCCCCAAAGAAGCTCAACAACTTTGGGTCCATCCCCAAAGGCTCAAAATTTTAGCTCTTCACCCCCCCATGGGGTTTTCCTCCTGCGTCAAAAAAATCTCAACAACTTTGACCTGAACCCCTAAAAAGGGGGGTAGATCACTGCCAGTTTTTAACTCTGTGAGTAGATCAGTCTCTTGGGAGTTGACCACCCCTGCCCTATAGCATGGGTAGGCAAACTAAGGCCCCGGGGGCCGGATCCGGCCCAATCGCCTTCTAAATCTGGCCCGTGGACGGTCTGGGAATCAGCGTGTTTTTACATGTGTAGAATGTGTGCTTTTATTTAAAATGCATCTCTGGGTTATTTGTGGGGCATAGGAACATGTTCATTTCCCCCCTCCAAATATAGTCTGGCCCCCACAAGGTCATAGAATCATAGAATCATAGAGTTGGAAGAGACCACAAGGGCCAGCGAGTCCAACCCCCTGCCAAGCAGGAAACACCATCAGAGCACTCCTGACATATGGGTGGTCAAGCCTCTGCTTAAAGACCTCCAAAGAAGGAGACTCCACCACACTCCTTGGCAGCAAATTCCACTGTCGAACAGCTCTTACTGTCAGGAAGTTCTTCCTAATGTTTAGGTGGACTCTTCTTTCTTGTAGTTTGGATCCATTGCTCCGTGTCCGCTTCTCTGGAGCAGCAGAAAACAACCTTTCTCCCTCCTCTATGTGACATCCTTTTATATATTTGAACATGGCTATCATATCACCCCTTAACCTCCTCTTCTCCAGGCTAAACATGCCCAGCTCCCTTAGCCGTTCCTCATAAGGCATCGTTTCCAGGCCTTTGACCATTTTGGTTGCCCTCCTCTGGACACGTTCCAGTTTGTCAGTGTCCTTCTTGAACTGTGGTGCCCAGAACTGGACACAGTACTCCAGGTGAGGTCTGACCAGAGCAGAATACAGTGGCACTATTACTTCCCTTGGTCTAGATGCTATACTCCTATTGATGAGGCCCAGAATTGCATTGGCTTTTTTAGCTGCCGCGTCACACTGTTGGCTCATGTCAAGTTTGTGGTCAACCAAGACTCCTAGATCCTTTTCACATGTACTGCTCTCAAGCCAGGTGTCACCCATCTTGTATTTGTGCCTCTCATTTTTTTGCCCAAGTGCAATACTTTACATTTCTCCCTGTTAAAATTCATCTTGTTTGTTTCGGCCCAGTTCTCTAATCTGTCAAGGTCGTTTTGAAGTGTGATCCTGTCCTCTGGGGTGTTAGCCACCCCTCCCAGTTTGGTGTCATCTGCAAATTTGATCAGGATGCCCTTGAGTCCATCATCCAAGTCGTTGATAAAGATGTTGAATAAGACCGGGCCCAAGACAGAACCCTGTGGCACCCCACTAGTCACTCTTCTCCAGGATGAAGAGGAACCATTGATGAGCACCCTTTGGGTTCGGTCAGTCAGCCAGTTACAAATCCACTGAGTGGTAGCATAGTCAAGACCGCATTTTACCAGCTTCTTTACAAGAATATCATGGGGCACCTTGTCAAATGCCTTGCTGAAATCAAGGTAGGCTACATCCACTGCGTTCCCTTCATCTACCAGGCTTGTAATTCTGTCTTCTTAACGAGATCAGGTTAGTCTGACATGACTTATTCTTCAGAAATCCATGCTGACTATTGGTGATCACAGCATTCCTTTCTAGGTGCTCACAGACTGTTTGCTTAATGATCTGCTCCAGAATCTTCCCTGGTATTGATGTCAGACTGACTGGGCGGTAATTATTTGGGTCCTCTCTTTCCCCCTTTTTGAAAATAGGGACAACATTTGCGCTCCTCCAGTCTGCCAGGACTTCACCTGTTCTCCAGGAATTCTCAAAGATGACTGCCAGTGGTTCTGAGATCACATCTGCCAGTTCTTTTAATACTCTTGGATGCAGTTCATCTGGCCCTGGAGACTTGAATACATCTAAATTAGCCAAGTATTCTTGTACTATCTCCTTAGTTATTCTGGGCTGTGTTTCCTCTGCTGAATCATTTGCTCCAAATTCTTCAGGTCGGGCATTGTTTTCTTTATCGGAGAAGACTGAGGCAAAGAAGGCATTGAGGAGTTCAGCCCTTTCTGTGTCCCCTGTTTGCAGGGGACTGAGGGAGAGTGGACCGGCCCCCTGCCTAAAAAGTTTGCTGACCCCTGCCCTATAGCCCCCGATCCAGACAGCACAGGGGAACCATCACAGAATAAATTCACCCCTAATGCACCATCTTTGTGACAAGAACATATTGCAGAATATACAGTGGTACCTCAGGTTACACACTCTGCTAACCCAGAAATAGTGCTTCAGGTTAAGAACTTTGCTTCAGGATAAGAACAGAAATCGTGCTCTGGCGGCGCGGCAGTAGCAGGAGGCCCCATTAGCTAAAGTGGTGCTTCAGGTTAAGAACAGTTTCAGGTTAAGAATGGACCTTCGGAACGAATTAAGTACTTAACCTGAGGTACCACTGTACGGGCAATGGCACCCTATTCTGGAGGGGTCCTTATATTGCAGAGGGTTGGACTAGAAGACCCTCATGGTCCCTCTCTGTGATTCCAAGTCAGACCCTTGTTCCATCTAGCAGCACATTTTCTACATTGACTGGTAGGGGCTCTTCAGAGTTTCAGGCAGGGATCTATCTCTCCCAGCTTCACCTGGAGATGCCAGGGATTGAACGGGTGATTTCCTGCATGCAGGGCAGGTTCTCTACCCCTGAGCTATGCTTCATCTTTAATTTCTGTTGCACCTAGTGGAATTCCATCTTCTCCACAACTATTAAAAGTGTCCTACTGGCAGATCAATCCAACACAGCTAAGCTCCTGTTGCAAGAGGAGCTGGGCTGCCCATCTTTAGGATTAGGAGACAAGGCTGCCGCCTCATGGTTTCCATGCAGGATGAGATACATGGCATGGGACGTTGAAGACGGGCCTTTTTGGTGTTGGCTCCTTGCATGTGACGCTCCCTCCCTGCTGAGGTGTATCTGGAACCATCTCTCTATAGTTTCAGGTGGCTGGTTAAGAGCACTTTGCTCCTCAGGCCGTTGTTCGAGAACAGGCCTGATTGGATCAGTGGATTAGATCCTGTTGTTGTTAGTACAGTGATACCTTGGGTTAAGAACTTAATTCATCCTGGAGGTCCGTACTTAACCTGAAACTATGGTTAACCTGAAGCACCACTTTAGCTAATGGGGTCTCCCACTGCCACCGCCGCACAATTTCTGTTCTCATCCTGAAGCAACGTTCTTAATCCGAGGTACTATTTCTGGGTTAGCAGACCAGTGGTTCTCAACCTATGGGTCCCCAGATGTTGTTGGGCTACAACTCCCATCATCCCTGAGCTCTGGCCTTGCTAGCTAGGGGTGATAGGAGTTGTAGTTCAACAACATCTGGGGAACCACAGGTTGAGAAAGACTGTGTGTAACCCAGTGGCGTAGCGTGGGTTGTCAGCACCCGGGGCAAGGCAAGTAATTTGCGCCCCCTAACCCGTGGATTTTAGCATGCCCCCCAGTGCGCCCCCCCAGATGTTGCACCCGGTGCGGCTGGCCCCCCCTGCACCCCCCACGCTACGCCACTGGTGTAACCTGAAGCGTCTGTAACCTGAGGTACCACTGTAAATGCTTTTTAGTGACTTGTTGGTGAATTTAAAGTTTGTGTTATTTTATGGATTTTTTTTTTATTAAAAGGATATTATTTGATGTAAACCACCCTAGGGTTTATGACAAGGGTGGTATACTGTATAAGTAAGTATGTAAATGGCACAAGGAGGGAGCCTTTTCTTCCATGTAAACATGTAAGAAGAAAGTGCCAATTGATTTAGATTCAAAGCTGCATGTTTTAAGCTGCATGTTTTATGTTCGGGGTATGGAGACAGACAAGCTCTCCATATTTTAAAAAGAAGGTGGACTTAAATGGAAACATTCTGTTAAAAAGCAGAATGGACTCATAACAAGAATATAGTCCCCCAACTTTTCAGCAGAACAGGCCTCAGTCCAACAAACTTGGTGTTAAAAAGGCATAGAATCTTAGATCTGAAAGGGTCAAATGTGGCCATCTAGCCCAACCTGTATAGTTAAAGCTCTGATTTTCCCAGTAGTGATGTATGGAAGTGAGAGCTGGACCATAAAGAAGGCCAAAGAATTGATGCTTTTTAATTATGGTGCTGGAGGAGACTCTTGAGAGTCCCATGGACTGCAAGAAGATCAAACCTATCTGAAGGATGCTGAAGGAAATCAGCCCTGAGTGCTCACTGGAAGGACAGATCCTGAAGCTTAGGCTCCAATCCTTTGGCCACCTCATGAGAAGAGAAGACTCCCTGGAAAAGACCCTGATGTTGGGAAAGATGGAGGGCACAAGGAGAAGGGGACGACAGAGGAAGAGATGGTTGGACAGTGTTCTTGAAGCTACCAGCATGAGTTTGACCAAACTGCGGGAGGCAGTGGAAGACAGGAGTGCCTGGCGTGCTCTGGTCCATGGGGTCACGAAGAGTCGGACACGACTAAATGACTAAACAACAACAAGCCCAACCAATGCAAAGCAGGAGGACAACTCAAAAATCCATGGCAGATGATCATCCTAGCTCTGTTTAACAACTTCCAGTGAAGGAGAGTCCACCGTCTTCCAAGGTAGCCCATTCCAGTGCATGCAGGTTTACTCTGAAGGAAGTCCCATGCAGTTGAAAGAGAAGTTAATCATGAGAAAAACTGTAATCCTGTACACATCAGGTTTACCTGTGAGTAAGTCTCATTGAACTGAAGAAGACTTAGTTCTGAGCATAGACGTGTATAGGGCTGCAGTTCTTATAGCTCCAAAATCATTCTTTTTTAAAGCTCCTATCTTTTGGGGGTTCTTGATTAGGGTTTTGGTTTTATCACCCACCTACCAGAAGATTCAGGGCAACTTGTTGCAATTTATGCTCCAGTCCTATAATCCATTGCCTGGGAATAAGCCCCATTTAACTCAGTGGGGTTTACGTCCGAGTAAGGCTGCATCATTCAAGGGCTTAGAATAAAAACGGGCTTCATAAGCGGACCCAGGAAGAGGGAAGGGTGGGGGAACCAGAATGCTAAAGTATTGAACTAATGTAGTCGAAAACTAAATAAATGTTTATTTCCATCCGAATTTGCCATAAAGTGTTATTTTTATTCCGAATGACGCTGTGACGATCTCCCCAGCAACACAGGAATACGTATTAGAAATAGTGGAATCTTGCAGCCTCGACCATTCAAATTGAGTCCTAGTGATATGAATGGGATTTGTATATTCTCGGCAGTTAAAGGCGTCTCCCGTTTTCCCTTTCTAACGTTAAACCCCCACCTACATCTTCGCTACAGGGGAAGCCTCGTGGGTGTCCGATTCTTAACATGCGCCACAAAGTCAAGGGCCAGCTGGTGTAATGGTTACAGCATCGTTCTAGGACTTAGGACCATCAATTGGCAAGCATTGAGAATGCATATCCCCTCCCCTCTCTCCACCCCATTGCCTCCATAAAACAACCCGGACCGAGACTATGAAAGAAGACGTCAAATAGCTAGGGAGTTGTTAATACGCATTCTGCCCGGTATTATTGGTGAGCCGGAGAACGTACGCATGGTTCTCTAGAAACTCATCCCTTGATTGTATCCAGATAAATTATTATATTTATCTGGATGGAAAGACGGAATATGATACCTGACAGACTCAACTCCCCAGCGGTTACTCAGAAGTAAATCCTACTATTTATTTATTTTTTAAGTCTGGGCACAGGATGGCAACCCATTCAGGCCGATGGAACCATGCGACACAATTCCTACATATAATTTTTAGAAGGCGGTATGTCGCAGGGACAGCAGCAGCATTTACTCTGGAGTAAACTTAGCAAAAGCTGCACGCGAAGCCTGCCTAATGCCAATTAGAACTGGGAAGGACATCCACTTCTGTTCAGATCCGGCTTACATAAGGTGTGGATCGCCCGGTGTCATCCTTTTGTGACTCCCCTCCTCATACATAGCTAGCGCGCATCTGTCAAGAGGCACGGATTTTTCCTCTTATATTATAATAATAATAATAATAATAATAATAATAATAATAATAATAATAATAAATTTATACCCCGCCCATCTGGCTGGGCTTCCCCAGCCACTCTGGGCGGCTTCCAAAAAAATATTAAAATACTGTAATACATCAAACATTAAAAGCTTCCCTAAACCTTCAGATTATTATAAAAGTCTGGTAGTTGTTTATTTGTTTATTGACATCTGGTGGGAGGGCGTTCCACAGGGCGGGTGCCACTACCGAGAAGGCCCTCTGCCTGGTTCCCTGTAACTTGGCTTCTCACAGGCAGGGAACTGCCAGAAGGCCCTTGGCGCTGGACCTCAGTGTCCAGGCAGAACGATGGGGGCGGAGACGCTCCTTCAGATATACTGATATACAGATACTCTTGATTCTCCCAACCCCACACAGTGCCTCAGCCCCCTCCCCGCCCCATCGCTCCACCCCGCCTTTCCCCTTCTGTCACGGAGCCTACCGTTTGCATGGGAGCGAGAAGGCAGGGCTCCCCGCTTTGCCTCGGACTCCGTGGCACTTTAATCAATGCTTCTAGCCGGGCGGACGTGAATTTCTCGCACGTCATCGGATCTCCTCCTCCAGCTAATTGATTTAAATGGCTTATCGGTTAAAGCAGCGGGCCTCCCTCCCTCCTCGGGTGATCTATTAGCAGGGAAGAATGTCCCCCCCCTCAATTCCTTGCTACTTGAGTCCTATCACGACACAAAAATGGCAATGAATGCAAGGGAAAGCTCTGGGTGGATGTTTTCGTGTATATATGTTAAAGAAATGTCCCTGCTCTGGGAGTGGTGTGCGTGTGAATAAGGCTGGTAGTGGGTCTTTGTATCTCTGCAGGTCTCACCTGCATTTGCTCCCTCGCTATAAACCGATCTTTCCATGGGTATCACCTAATAATAATAATAATAATAATAATAATAATAATGGAAGTGGGAGTCTTTCAAGGAGCACCAGTGCCCTTCTTCCTTCAACTGGGCATACTGGTCTTTGGACACCAAGCTTGCTCCTATCTGAATAGTTCTATCGCGGCTGTAGCTGTTTTCTAGTGGCACCAGATAACGCTCAAACCGGCAATTATGTTGATCCGGGGCTGTTGCGCAACAAACCCTCTTCCCGCCCCCGCAAAAAGATTTGACTTCTAGCGGTAAGGGAAGTGATGGGGAAATGTGGAGGAAAGTGGGAGACGCCACCTTACGCAAGCTCCCTGCAAACAAATCTGAAGGCGTGCTCCGTAGATGACCAGCTTCTATCTAACCTCTCTGCAAACAAATCAGGAAGAATGCGCAATAAGCAGATCTACTGGGAGCTGCCTACCCAACGTAAGACCCTTTGCAGGCCTGAGGCAAGAAACAATTCTTTTTTGAGGGGCCATGGTCGTGGCAGTCCTTCCTGCTATTATTAAGAATCTACAGAGCTATGCAAGACTGTATCCTGAACAAGGGCTCTATAAACATCGTTGCAAAAAGCTCGGATCGCTTTTCTTCTCACTCTTACGTCTTTTATCCTTGGACCCCATACATACTAACTGCAACCCCAAGCACACTTGCTCGGGAACAAGTCCTACTGAACTCAGCGGGAGTAAACGCGCTAAACCTTTTGCCCTTTTAATATCCCATGGAAGTGGGTGGGACGTACTTGCTTCCTGAGAAGGGTCACTCTGCTCAGTTCAACGCGTTGCGCAATTCAGTTTACTCAGAAGCAAATCCCCCTGTATCGAGAGGAACTTGCTCCTCAGCTAAGAGCGGCTAGGATTGCAGCAACCCTAGACATGGCGATGGAGGAAAGATCCGATTGAGTTCAATGGGGATTACTCGCAAGGAAGCGGTTGTACTTAGGATTCCAGCCTAAATTGTTGGTTGCGTTGCTCACCCCTCTGCGGTGTGAATGAACCTGCGTGGGCTGGGGTTGGGGTTGGAGAGGGTCCATTCTGCTTTCTGCCCGTCACAAATAGTACTTCCCACTCGGCTCCTGCCCGGCTTTCAGCATCCTCGTCTGCTACAGAGCTCAGAAGGGTCGTAAGCTAAAGCGGCTGGCAATCTCAACTATTGGCTTTTAATTAAAGCGCACAGGGCTCCAGTGTACGGAAGGAACCAGCTACTTAGCCAAGCAGGCGCTGACAGGATCAAAGCGGGCTGGAATCCTGTGCAACCTTGCGCGTGAGTAAAACCTTTGAGAAACGGCGGTATTGAATGCTGCGCAAACACGTGGAAGAGTGTGTTGGCAGTATTCAAGAAAAACAAACGCAGGGCGTTAGAACACAGAGTTGCAAATATCCCCTCCTCTCTCTTCGGTATTAGATCAGCCGTGGGGCAACTGTGGCCCGCCAGGTGATGCTGAACTACAACTCCCATCATCCCTTGCCATTGACCATGCTTGCTGTGCATGATGGGAGTTGTAGTTCAGCAACATCTGGAGGGCCAAAGATTCCTCATCTCTGTCTTCTTGACCACCAAACTATAGTCTCCATTGGCATCCCATCAAATTTTATTTTTATTAAAAAAATTAAGAGCACTTGAGAGTTTGGGAGGGTGGTTTGTATGGATGGGCCTACTTGCTATTATTATTATTATTATTATTATTCTATGGGGGCAGTATTGCCTGCCATTTTGCCTGTTTTATTTGTTTGGAGAAGTATGTGTGTTTGCCTGATTATTGCGTCTCCCCCTCCTGCCACCAGGACATGAATATTTTGTGATGCCCACAACAGTTTCTTAGCTTTCCCAAATGTGGAGAAAATCTGTAGCCAAAATGCCAATTTACGCTCACTGTAGAAGAGTAAGAAGGGGTTAAGATTCACAGAGAGCTGAATTCCTAAAGAGAATAACCTCTGTGATGTCATTCTCTTGAATTCTGTGATGGGAAACTTAAAAGGATTTTAATTCAGGAAAGATCTAAACCTCATTCAAGAAGGACTGGGGAGATAAATTGAGTTTAATATATCCCCTCCTACTTATCAAAATCCACCCAATACCAAATGTGCCTCCATGTGCCGCAAGATTGGGGGCTCCTGTCTTAGCTTAACCTACCTCACAAGGTTGTTGTGAGGATAAGAGGTTGGTGGTGGAAGGAAGGATGACCTGTAGAGTTGACCTGACAGAAGGTTGGGATAAAATTTCAGTCGATAAATAAGAAGATCGTATATTTTCCTTACCTAACAGGACCTAACCAAAGCAGTCTGGAGATTCAGACATGAAGATTTAAACAATAAGATAAGATAAAACTTAATTCACTTTAGCCAATGGCCATAGCAACAGTAAAACATTACAGTATATGCAGAAAAGGAAATTTGATATAAGAGCACAATTTAAAGTCCTGAATTAGCCATCAGTTAGTGGCCCTTACTCTGATTGCCCCTGCTATGAACCTAGCAACCTTTGCTGTTATCTGCTCATTTTGATCTGATAGAGGAAAGGACATTGTGGCAGTGGTTGAGCGCCCTGGGATGGTTAGTACGAGTGGGGTGATGATCTCGTTCCTCAGGTCTTTGTAGAGAGTACAGGACAGGAGGACATGTGCCGCTGTTTCGGTGCTACCATCTCCACAGGGGCAAAGACGTTTCTCAGGCGGGATCTTTTGGAATCGACCCCCAAGTACTGCAGATGGCAAAACATCCAGTCTTGCAAGTGTAAAAGCACGTCTGCATTTTGGGATAAGAAGTTTGTGCAGATATGGGGCCAGAGAATCAAAATGGAGAGGTGGAAACTGAACATACCAAGGACAAAATTTCCTTATAGTGGCCGGGTTGTTCTGATGCTCGATATCTTTTAGACGTTGACCAATAAGATTGTTTGCTTTAGTGGGGCCCATAGTGAGTAGGTGTTGTGGGGACAGGCCACAAGAGTGAAGTTTTTGCTGGACGGTTTTAAGCCAGGCACTTTTATGGGAGTCTTGAAGTATTAGGGATAGTAAACCTGGGGGATTTGAGTTTAGCCGGAGCCAGAAGTTAAGAGTTCTTTGCCAAGTCCATACTTCTACTGAAGGGAGATTTAAAGAATGATTAAATAGCAGGAAGAACTTTCTGACAGTAAGAGCAGTTAAACACTGGAAAGGACCCCCTCTGGAGGTTGTGGACTGTCCTTCATTGGAGGTTTCTAAGCAAAGATTGGGTGGCCATCTGTCACGGATGCTTTAGTTGAGATTCCTGCATTGCAGGGGGTTGGACTAGATGACCCCGGGTCCCTTCCAACTCTACAACTCTACAACTCTACAACTCTATGATTTTATGAATAGAACCTTGGAGAAAATGTTGATTTAGGAACATGGGCATAGCCAGGATTTTTGTTGGGGGGGAAAGGCCTCAATTTGCTATGTATTTTTTGTATTTTTAATTATGGGGGGGGAGAGAGCTGCCCCTCCCCATCCCCCCTAGGCTACGCCCATGCTTAGGAATCCTCTCCAACTTTTCTTGGTTGGATCTGTGTGAGATCCAGGTGCAAATTCCTTTTCATTCACAAATTCTATCCTCCTTCCCATTTCTGCTCTGCAGTCAATAATCTAATCAGCAAAAGCTTCTGTACCAACAGTCGCTGAAATAGATTTGAATTCTTGACCTCATAATAATGCCCTGAAATCAGCGCTTGTCATTCGATTAAAGAAATCTTACTGCTCAACCTTTAAACATGGCTGGTCCCACTGTGTTCCACATGACGCACTTCTAGGAAAATGCGTAGAAAATTGCAACCCAGGTTGATTTCCCCATGCTATTAATGGATCTATTAGCTAAATTTGTGGGTTTTGCAGCCAAATCACAAATGAATGTTTTGCTAGACAAGCACAGGGCTAGTACACAGAGAGTTATGAAAGTTCCTAGAGAGGACCCTCTGTGTGTGGCCACTTCCTTTCTTTCCTCTGGGAGGGGATTCATACAATTCCTTCTGCCTTTGAGGAGACTCTTTTCCCACCATATTCCCATGTTACGCAGATGGGGGCTCCAGATACACTCACCCCCTTTTGAGATGACCAACTTTTATTTTACTGTAACTTAGTGGCATTTTTCTGCATACTGCTTTGTAAGCAAACCATTTTGTTGTTGTTGTGTTTACTTTACTAAAACGTGTGGTTTGTTCTGGGGGTGGGGGAGAAGACCAGAAAAAGGGGGTGAAAAGGTATAACTGCTTTAGTAAGCTGCAAAATGTATAAGTGTTTTTACTTTGCTAAAAAGGTGACACAGCCCGTTTATTTTTTGCATTTCTCCCATGAGTGTGGGCTAGGAGGTTGAGCTATGTGAAGAAGTGTGTATACACATGAAAGCTCATACCTAGAAAGCTTATACAGTATCTAGTTGGTCTTTAAGGTGCTACTGGAATTATAATTTTTTTTTTGAAAGATCCTTTTAAAGACTGTCTTAAGACAAAAAGACTTGATTCTCTTAAGGGAGTTCTTTTTGGATCATCTATCTATATCTGTCTATCTATATCTATCTATCTATCTATCTATCTATCATCTATCTATCTATCTATCTATCTATCTATCTATCTATCTATCTATATTTTGAGAGTCCCATGAACTGCAAGAAGATCAAACCTATCCATTCTGAAGGAAATCAGCCCTGAGTGCTCACTGGAAGGACAGATCCTGAAGCTGAGGCTCCAATACTTTAGCCACCTCATGAGAAGAGAAGACTCCTTGGAAAAGACCCTGATGTTTGGAAAGATGGAGGGCACAAGGAGAAGGGGACGACGGAGGACGATATGGTTGGACAGTGTTCTTGAAGCTACCAGCATGAGTTTGACCAAACTGCGGGAGCCAGTGGAAGACAGGAGTGCCTGGCGTGCTCTGGTCCATGGGGTCACGAAGAGTCGGACACGACTAAACGACTAAACAACAACAACAATCTGTCTATCATCTATCATCTATCTATCTATCTATCTATCTATCTATCATCTATCATCTATCTATCTATATCTATCTATCTATCATCATCTATATCTTTCTATATCTACTGTATAAAAAATCTTTCATCTTGTTACCTGTTTGTATATGTTTGAAACTTTAAGCCTAAAACCTGCCTTCAGGGAATCACACTGTGCTCTGCCTGATCACGAGTAAAACTACTTTTTGTTACTTATGAATAAGACTGTAGTGTCTTTATTCTTTTAGGAGGGATTCAAAGAGTCTTACCAGGAATACATTAGAACACATTTCAATCTGGAAAAGCCAGATTGAATTGCATATTGTCTTAAGAAACTCACATGGGTTTGCAGCTAGTTTTCTGCAGTGCGTGAGAAGGGGAGTGTAAACTCTGCTAAGTAAAGGAACTTGCTAGCGCAAGTTAGGAAGGATATTAATAAACAGTATATCCTCTCCTGCCACCTGAACATTCCCACATGAGGTTGTTTAAGATCAGAGCTAATTTAGTAGTTAATGTATGGGTTCAACCAACGTATGGGTCATACTGCAGACACCACCATGCATTTTAGCAAGTTCTGAGGTTGATCCAGTCTTGGATTTTGGCCACAAACCTCCATTTCAATATCTGGTGGGTAACAAACCCAAAGGAAAAGGCATCCATCAATGAAGAATCTTTGTTCTTTCTAGTTAATTTTATAGTTTTTAAAGACTCCCTTGACTGAAATGGTCACTAGGCATTTTATTAACAATAAGAAAATGTAAAACAAAATCCGCAATAAATGAAAAGATTAAAATCATTCTCATATATTGCATAGCAGCATCATAAAAATGACACAACCCATCAGCCCCTAAAAACCTGGCAAAAAATATGAGCTTTTGCCTGGCATCAAAAAGAGGTTGGGACAAGATGCACTTCAGTTGGAAGCTTCTTCCACAGACATGGAGCCACCACCAAAAAGGCTCTGCTATGGATCCCCACACTACACACCTCATTTAACACAGGGACCACCAAGAGAGTTTCTTCCACAGTTAATGTAGAAAGGGGTTCAGTTTTCCACATCTGATTTGGTTCGTACATGCATGTTCACCACTTGTTCACTGCAACATCAAGTGATAACTTGCATGTATGAACTAACCTGGATAGAGCTTTCCTGTGTCCAACCAGCCGCTCAAAACACAACACTTTTCAACAGAGGCAATTCAGACATTTGGAAAAGGGACATCAAGGACACATTCAAGCAAAAATGTAGCTGAAAAACCTCAGTAGGTGGTGAGAAAACAGGAAGCTTAGGGACAATGCCCTGAGCAGTTCTTAGGGTGCAATTAGAGGTGGAACCCAAACATTTATGGCAAGTCCAGGATGCAATCAAATGTTTTCAGAACTCTCACTATCTTTTTAACAGGGCTGGCCCTACTTTTGGGAAAAGTGAGTCAGCTGCCTCAGGCTGCAGATACCAAGGGGAGCAGCAGCTCCTAGTCCTTGCCCCCCGTCCCCATAGCTAGCCTGATGTCCTCAAATACAGTGGAAGATGTTCCTTTGTCAGTGTTCATGTAAGATTCAATGGTCAATCCAGTTGGATTCTGACGTCTAATGGAATACTTCTCCCATATTCTCCTTTGCCTCAAGCAACTATCTAACTTTTAGAAGACATCTGAAGGCAGCCCTGTTTAGGGAAGTTTTTAATGTTTGATGTTTTATCGTGTTTTTAATATTCTGTTGGGAGCCGCCCAGAGTGGCTGGGGAAACGCAGCCAGATGGGTGGGGTATAAATAAATTATTATTATTATTGTTAACCGAAGGCCAACTAGTCCTGATTTGGGAAGTATTCTCATCCTTGCTTTCCTGGTCTGAAAACCAAAAATAATGGCTGGAATAGTTTTCTCCTTGTTGACAGCAAACCTTATTCCACACGTGCGAATATATGTGGTTAGGCCAAATCTGTATATTTCTTCTGCTCTCAGAAACAGAAGGAGTGTGTGGCACAAATTGGACATAAGTATTCTGTGTTGTGCAGGAGTGTGGACTACGTCCAGATAAAAAAGTATTGATGTATTCTGTTTATGGACTTGGGTGCAGTCACACATGCTCGTCACGGGGCTCTTAAGTATTATCTCCTCCACCAACCACACAAACACAGTCTTTGACCAACTGTATGAAAAGTTCCCTATGGCTGGTTCAGACTGTTAGGTCCAGTCACCAGTGGCGTAGCGTGGGTTGTCAGCACCTGGGGCAAGGCAAGTAATTTGCGTCCCCTAACCCGTGGATTTGCGCCCCCTAACCCTAACCCCCAGATGTTGCGCCCGGTGTGGCCGGCCCCCCCTGCACTCCCCACGCTACGCCACTGCCAGTCACGGACGACTGTGGGGTTGCGGCGCTCATCTCGCTTTATTAGCCGAGGGAGCCGGAATACAGCTTCCGGGTCATGTGGCCAGCATGACTAAGCCGCTTCTGGTGAACCAGAGCAGTGCACGGAAACACCGTTTACCATCCCGCCAGAGCGGTACCTATTCATCTACTTGCACTTGATGTGCTTTCGAACTGCTAGGTTGGCAGGAGCAGGGACCGAGCAACGGGAGCTCACCCCGTCGCGGGGATTTGAACCGCCGACCTTCTGACTGGCAAGTCCAAGAGGCTCAGTGGTTTAGACCACAGCGCCACCCGTGTCCCTGGGATGTATATGATAACCACCTGATAATCATTTAACATCAGCTGAAGCTGTGCAAACATAAATCGGTTATTGCAGGAACGACATTGCAGGAGGAGCTTGGATATCACTTCACATTGTCTCAAACCCAGTGCTATTCAATTCTGCTTATTCATACATTGAGATATCACCAGCCATGAAGGCCTAGCTCATGCATCCTTCCATGGACAGGACACCACAGATTTAACATCACAGATGAAACTTCCATCATGTTTCATGTCACCTACAAGAAAAGGCCTTTTCAGTGAGTCCATTAATACATTTCATACAGGTACGGATGGTAATTTGTGGCCCTGCAGATACTGTGTGACAATTGTCCACATCAACCCTGACCATTGGCCAGGCTGGCTGGGGTTGATGTTGTGGGAAAATCTGCAGCCAAAATGATAATTTTTGTTTGCTGTACAAGTGTGTGAAGGGGTCAAGAATCACATTGAGATGAATTCCTAGACAGAAAACTTCTGTGATGTCATTTTCCTTGAACTTATTTAGTGGGAAACTTAAATGAAGGATTTAATCCTTAGCATTTCCTCCTTGCTTCGGATCATTTTTCATTAGCCTGATGATGGAGATGGGTGTGTTGTTTGCTCTGTTGGAGAGCAAACATTATCTTAGCACATTTTAATATGTAGGAAGTAACTAGTATGTATCACTGCCTGTCTCATATTCTTCACTGTACGATGCTGAATCCTGGCAAGACTTAAATGTAAGTAAACTTATTTTCTAATATATGTAGTAATACACAGTCTGTTGCCCGATCATTTTATAGGAGGGAAATTGTGATAAGTGTATTTAAGGCTAAGCAGCATAGTCTCAAGTTTCTTTTTATTCTGCAAAGGAGTGTTTAAACTCAGAATAAGATCTAAACCTCACTCTGCTGAGACTGGGGAGAAAAATTAAGTTTACTATATCCTCTTCTACTTTTTAAAAATTCATCCAATAGGTGGAAATTGGAATCCAACAACATCTGGGGGGCTGTGAGTTCCAAACCCCGATTTAAGGGCTAATCACCAAATATTAAGCAATTGCAATGGAGGATCCAGTGATAGATACTCTCATGTCAACCTGGTGCGATGTTTTCAAGACCAATATGCCACAGATAATCAAGGATCGCAAAAACACTCCAAATGGAAAGATGCATTTTAAATAATCAGAAACAGCCAGTTCCAAATCTTTCTATAAAAATCTTATTTCTATTTCTATGGGACTCTCTCTCTCTCTCTCTCTCTCTCTCTCTCGTTTAACTCACCACTAATCCCACCCAGTGGCGTAGCATGGGTTGTCAGCACCCGGGGCAAGGCAAGTAATTTGCGCCCCCTAACCCGTGGATTTTAGCATGCCCCCCAGCGCGCCCCCCCAGATGTTGCGCCTGGTGCGGCCGGCCCCCCCTGCACCCCCCACGCTATGCCACTGATCCCACCAAAGGTTTCCCTAAAGCTCTTATTGATGCTGAAATGCAACCTTTGGGGAGCTGGCAGTAACTTGACAGAATGTCATCTCTGCTGTGTGCACAAAATCCCTTTGTTTTACTGCAGTAATTCATCTAGAATGACATCCCTACCAAGTTTTAAACCATGTTACAAGGAAACCTCCATCGAACACCTCGTTTTATGTTTTTGTTCTAAATTACAGAAGATGGATGAAGGAATCTGTGTGACCTGAAACATACTGCCTACAAAGCCGATGCCCACATTTGCCCTCTTATTTATTATTACATTTATATCCCACCTCCCCGCCACCCCCCAAGGAGACAAGTTCACATTCATGGTCCCCATCCCCCCATTTTATCATCACTAAAGCCCTGTGAGGTAGGTTAGACTGAACAACAGTGCCTGGCCCAAGGTCATTAGAGATACAAATCTCAGAGTTCCCTGGGAAGAGTGGTTTTTTAATATATATACAACCACAATGAGAACTGTAGCTCTGTGAAGGGAATACGGGTCTCCTAACAACTCTAAGGGACGCGGGTGGCGCTGTGGGTTAAACCACAGAGCCTAGGGCTTGCCGATCAGAAGGTCGGCGGTTCAAATCCCCGTGACGGGGTGAGCTCCTGTTGCTCGGTCCCAGCTCCTGCCAACCTAGCAGTTCGAAAGCACATCAAAGTGCAAGTAGATAAATAGGTACTGCTCCGGCAGGAAGGTAAACGGCGAGTAAAGCGAGATGAGCGCCGCAACCCCAGAGTCGGTCACGACTGGACCTAATGGTCAGGGGTCCCTTTACCCTTTACCCTTTAACAACTCTAAGCACCCTTGACAAACTATAGCTCCCAGGATACTTCGGCGGAAACCATGACTTTTAAATGTGGCATGAGACTGCAGGCAGGGCCTTACAGGAGCGAATGAGCTATCTCTGATCAAGCTCTTTGCACAGAACATTTAAATCACTAGCATTTTGCCCTACGCAGCAGGTTTTTTCCTTGGGAGAGGCAGATGGAGTGTCACTCTCACATTCAGCCTTCAGTGCAGGCAGCGAATGTAATGAAGATAAGAAAACTTATCAGGTACAAAATACCAGGTCAATTCCTCCATCCATGGTCAAGTCAGTGGTCTTGTGAATGGTTGACCTGGCATTGCACAGCAGCACCTTAAGGTCATGTGGGTCATCTTTGTTGATACCAGTATCCTTCTGGTCAGGACCAGACCGGGGTGATCTTCAAACAACGACTGAACCTGCCTCCTCGGTAATGACATGATCTGATCCTAGCATAACTCTTCCTCCTCCTACCCACGATCACTGAGATCTGGTGTCCCAGTGCATCCCCCCTAGTGGAACCTGCCCCAGCCATTCTGTTATAACTTAACAAATAGACAAAGGTAAACTAAAAACACAAGTTAAAACAGCTAATTCTCAAGTTAAAACACCTTTCTATTTTAATCTACAGACTGAACGCTCAATCCATCTCCTACAGCTACCACTGGCAAATCAATGGAAACAGAAGAGAAGCAGCTATCAGCTAAGCAGTAGGACAGATGTGGAGAACCTTTGGCCTTCCAGACGTTGTGAACTACAACTCCCATCATCCCTGGCCATTGGTCATGCTTGCTAGGGCTGATGGGAGCTGTGGTCCAGCTGCATGTGGAGGGCGGAAGGTTACCCATGCCTGCTTGAGGAGAACCATCCCCATGGCAAGAGCTGTTGGGCAGGTGGTGGGATTTCCTTCACTGCAGGTATTTAAGGAGGCTGGATGACCTCCTGTCTGTGATGTTGTAGCTCAAGACAGCACCCTACAGATGCAGTTGGACCACAGCTCCCATCAGTCCCAGCCAGGAAGGCCAGTGGTATGGGATGATGGGAATTGTAATCCAAGAACATCTGGTGGGCACCAGTTTGGCGACCTCTGCTGTAGCTGTAGCCTGCATCTCAGACCTTGCACTGAGCACTGAGATTTGAACTAGATGACCCCAATGGTTATATGGCATCTGATCCTATTGTATTTGGTTGAAGGTGGACTCTTAACGATTTGGCACAAATCTGTGACCAGAGAAGCTGAGATTGCTTCTGAAGGCATGGAATTGCAACAGGATACTCCAGTGCTTATGAAGAAACATGAAGAAGCTCCTGATACAAATCAAATGAGGATGAACTATGACCTGATTAAGTCCCAGTCCAAGTATCCCTGCTTGCAGCCCAGTCCTATCTGTATTATTTGGGAGCAAGCCCCAACCCGAGTCAATAGGGATTACTCTCAAGTGCATGGGGCTAGCACTGCCCCCTTAGCTTTGGTGGTAGATCGGTTGTAAATCGCCTCCACTCCTTATCCTTTTACCACCCGAAAAGTCTTAGAGGTGTTTCAGCCTCACGGCAACCTTGTGAAGTAGGTTAGGTTTGGGAGGGGGACTTGCCCAAAGGCAACTAAATGATATTCAGAACTGAAGAGGGCTTTGAGGATCAGTTTACTACAGCCCACATCCATTGTAACCGTGATCCACCGATTTTAATTCAAGCGTTTATTCCGTCCTTAAAAAATAGAGGTACGACCCAAACAAATGAAAAAGGAGGGATTTATGTGTCAACAGTTGCATGTACATGTAATATGTTCACAAATGCCTTGCGGATTGGGCCTACACGCAAGCTCATTGGTTTAGTCAGGCGCTTGTCCAAAACACAGGTCTTTGAAAAGCATTTTTTTAAGGATAATGCTCACTCGGTTCAATGCTAAAGTACTTTTTTAAAAGCCCATTGATTTCAGTGGATGAGTTAGGGCAATTGCTTAACAGCATTTGCTATCCTAACAGCCTCATACTTGGAAGTAAACCTCACTGAGCTCAGTAAGACTTGCTTCCGAGTAGACACGTAAAGGATAACTCTGTAACGAAAGAGCTTAGACTTTGTTCTGATTATGACCATTTTTTCTTTTTACAAGAATAACTTTGGGGTATTTTTTTTTTTAGAGGATCGTTTGCATGCTTTCAACCTTAAAAAAATAAATGCGAGTGAAATTATCTCTCTCTCACACACACAGAGGCATCCGTATAATTCCGATGATGATTTGAATTTGAAAGGGAGAGAGCGACTCTTTTGAAAACGAGAAGGTCCCATCTGGAAAAGCTCGACGTTCAATTAGATCGCATCACTTCAGGGTGTCCTCGTCTCCCGTCCCCCCCACCCCGCCGCCGCCGTCCCCCGTCTCGTCTCCTGAATAACCTTCCAGGCAAAGCGACACAAAAACGGGCAGGCGAGCGCCGAAGCATCCATGGAAAAGAGAGAGAGAAAGAGAGAAAAGAGGAAATATAAGGGAAAGGAAGGCGCCTGGGAGCAGAAAAAACCATTGGGAAAAGAACCTCAGTCGCCAGCCCCGTTTCTCTCCTTTTTTTAAAAAAAAGAACCACATTTAGATGCGAGCGACTCTTATTTCTACAAAGAACAGATGAGATTCCAAGGCGCTTTTGTTGTGTTTCACGCGAGGGAGAGAGAAGGGCGACGAAGATTCGGAGCAGCCGGTAACGTTGCGAGCTGGGGTTGACTCGGCGCTTTGGTGAGAGGGTGGGTGTTTGGAGATCCTCCCACTATCTTCTGCCACCCCTCCCCCACTTCCAATGACCTAAGGCATCCTTTACTGAAGGGCCCAGCCTTTTTCTGCAAGACTAGGCACTTCGGAATCGACACCGAGGAAATAATGGGAGCCCCGACGACGCAGCTGGGACTCGCGGGCAGCTCTCTCCGAAGGGAGATAGCCTTTCCTTTCCAGTAGCCTGCAAGAAAGCAGGGGAAAATATATGCCTTTGTAAGAAAAGCCACCGCGGCTCTCCTGCCCTGGTTCTCTAATGCTGTGGGTGGTTTTCTTTCTGTTGAGAGACTGTTCAGTCTGTAGGCATGTGAGGACGGTAGAGAGAGAAAGAATCAACGGGGGGAGGGGGAGGAGAGGAGATGTTGAGAAACGATCTGTTAAAAAAAAAGGAAAAAAGGAAGAGGGACAGGTTTAACCCATTGGGCGGCAGCAGGAACCGACTCCGGAGCGTTCCCAGTTGCTTGATTTTGTTTCTGGAGAGGACCTCTTCCTCCTGACTCCTAGGATGGGTCCCAGAAGCTTATTTGAGGTGACAGTCTTTCTAGGGAGGCACGGACTTTTTGGCGAAGGGGCAGCCTAACCCCTAACCAAGTTTATTGGGAGGGGAATCGCGCCGGATTCAGTGGGGCTCAACAAAGTGCGTGTCTGCGCGGAAACAACCCCATGGAATCCAAGGAGACTTCCTTCCCAAGTTCAAGGTGTCTCTGATTAGAGGTTTAGCCCCTTCCAATGCTCCTGCGGACACTTGAGATTGGGGGTCCCACTGAGGCCAGCGGAACCTCCTCCTGAGTATCGACGTTCCTCGGATCCGGCCTTATCGCGACCTCAAACGAAACACATTTTTGGCGCAGCGAATTCTGAACGCGTTTGATCAAAAGTGAATTTCCACTTATGAGAGTTATTTCCCACCGAGGCTGCAGTCCTATAAACACTTACCTGGAAGTAAGCTGAAGTAAGCGTAATAGGTCTTACTCCCAAGTAGACGCATAGGATTGCTCTGTCAGTGTGTAAAGGGAAGAAGAAGCTTCGAAGTAAGAACGGGTCATTGCTCCCTGGCTCTGCACACATTTACTGCGGAGTAAGGCATGTCACTTCAATAGGCTTTCCTGCCAAACGTACTTTTCCTGAAGAACATTGGCTTTTCGAAGCCCTCAAAGGAGAAGAGATAAGGTTCCAATCTTGATTCACGACCTGGGAATTTAAAACCTCAGAAACCGATTTAAATGCCATCTGTTTGCAATTCTTGGGATGAATGGCGTATTTTTTCCCCCTTTTCGATCGGCTGAGGCTTAAGACCTCAACACGCTTTCTGACGAGGAAGCCCTATTGGACACGGTGGGGTTCCTTTCTGAGTAAACGTGGCGTAGGATCGGGCTGCCGGGAAGGGATTCGTTTTGAGTAGTCGATTAACCCCGAACCTCTTCCCGCCTGCGCCGCGCAATCCCGTTTAAAACTCTTTGGCAAAACCCCCTCTCTCAAGCGCACGGTGATAATAAGGGAGCATCTATCTTGCCTGATGACCACCTACTGCTTTATGGTCGCTTTGTTCCAACTATTACAATCAAGAGAATTCTTTATTTACTGTTAACATTCACTTAAAGCGGGATGTTAATGATGCTTTGGAATTCACCAAAGAGAGTTTTCTGACGATTCTCTCTCTCCCCCTGCCCGCACTTTCTCTTTTGTTTATTTCAGGAAAACTTGGCTCGGAGGAGGAGGGGTGGCTGTGGGAACCCTGCCTGATAGAGAAAATCGGAGCTGAACTTGGATCTCGAGTTAGGTATTTGCTCAGGGTTTGGATTCCCATTGAAAAGGGCTCACTCGCTGCTGAAGATGGTAACCGTCACTCAGCAAACAACGCCAGGAAGTGATAGAACAGGCATAGACAAACAGACAGACGCGCACGCACGCCAAAATCTTCTCTTTTCCATTGTCTCCGCCACTGTCGACATCTAGGACGCGATCCTGTGCAAGTTAAACATTTTAAGGAGACGTGGATTTCGCTGCGTTCTTTTGAACATCGGTGGGATGTTCAAGCGCGCCCATTTAGCTTGTAAGCTCCGCGGGGCAGGGAACAGCGGCTGTTTACACCCAGTGGCTACAACCATTAATCGGCAGATTATTCGATAGAAGCGTTTCCAGATTAATTTTGGCAGGACGGTCCAGTTTTTCAAACGTGGGTAGGTTGTTTTGATTCAGGCGTGTCAGGATAATTAAAAAGAAAATGGCATGATAGAGCCGCTTTAGATAAAATAGCACCCATGGCTTGCTACATTCTAAATTCTCTCACACGTTTTAAGTTTCCACCCATTTTTGGAATTCTTTAAAAGAGCACTGACTGACGGGGTGGGGGAGAAAACCGAGTGGGAGGTGGCAATGGAAAGGAGCGTGGCAGTCAGACAAGAACGCAGCCCAAGAGATCTCCGCACTGCAACATTTTGTTGCAGCTCCTACTTTTTAGCGTGTAAGCAGCAAACCATTACGAGCGCTCCCTGGCTAAATCAAAGAGCACCTTGGGGAACTGTGCCTTCCGTGAGTATTTGGAAATTTGGCACTGTACTTTTGCTCCATGAGAACCTGGGTTTAAGAAAGGGAAAACTTTCCACTCTTTATAATCACAGGAGGACCCTTAAAATCAGGCTTTGAAGGGTGCGCTTCGCACAAGAGTAACCTTATGCTCGTTCTATTCCCGTTCCCGTGTGTGTGTGTGTGTGTGTGTGTGTAAGAGAGTGAGAGGTGTGTACAGTAATATATAAAACATCCTTAAAGAGCAATGGCTGTCATCGAAATTCTTTAACCGACACACACACACACACACACACACACACACGGAACTCCTACCTTGTTAAATGACCTCCCCTCCGCACTGCCTTCCCCAGCAGTATCTAAATAGGAAGCTCATCGGGGCAGGGGCTTGCCCGGGTTTGTTCATTCTGCGTGATGGGGTTTGCACATTTTTGGGTGTGTGTTTGTGTGTGGGAGGAATTGCAAGGCACATTGAAGGCACTCTATAAATATTAGGCTGTATCTGTGGGCATTCCAAACCTATATAAGGGCCAAGGAAAACCCAGGAGGAGGTGGAATAGATATCAGTAGAACAGGGCAGACCGGGGAATTAGCACGTAGGGGTTTGTTTTTTTTTTTGCCTTTCTTGTGCTTCCCTAACTAGAGCTTTCCAGATTTCTGAGGCTTTTACCTGCGTCGGATAAGCGCAGCCCCGTTCAATTTTGTGCCTCGCCTGATTTCTCGGGTTCAGGGTTCCGCACGTCGGTGGGCCTTTCAGACCGACAGGAGGAGCGGCGGGCCTCGCAGCAACGCACGGAGTTTAATGTAGCCAATGATGCACGTATTTTATTGCAGGAGATTCATTCATTATTGATAAACGTTTGCAGTAGCTTCCTGCTTCGGGGAGAGTCCCCGCCCCGCACCCTTTTTTTTTTTTTTTTTACTTCTTTCTGATGAATAAACTAACAAGGCCTCTGCTTCCCTTACAAACCCAACCCAACCCAGTTCTTTCTCCGGTAAAGCTGCTTGCACACAACGGACCCACGAACCTGTTAATCCGGAGCACCTGGATTCCCAGACAGCTGCAGACCCAAATGTGTTTCCTGATCAAATTGTTTCGGTTTGCCTGGGTCTCTGGACCATCATCGTTAGGACACCCTGGGGCTACAAATCCGGTCCTTACACCAAAGCAAACTGCAAAATAAATTAAGGCCTCGTGGGACCCTAAAGAAAGAGTTGCAATTCGCAGTGCGAACTGGATTAAATCCAAATAGTCGTATTTCCTACGCACGTTGATGCAAGACAGTATGCGTTCAATGAGCTACTTACTCTTAGGTTGTAATGCATAGGATCCATGCAGCCTTCCACGAGCTGTGGATCGGGTTCTCTTCCTACTGCTATTTGCAATTTTTAATCTCCAAATTTATTTTGTGTGTGCTACTTAGTGTATATTAGCGTTAGCTTTACTCCGCACAACTGCAACCTTATGGTGGGGGATTAAGCCCCGCTGAACTCGGCGGGATTTATTTCTGAGTTAAGCAAACTTGCTATCCTAGGCTGTAACATTATTTGTTATTAACCGATTCTTTAAAAGATCAAATACTTCTGTGCCAATATACTTGCGTGGAAGGCATCAGGAATATTCGAATCCAGCGAGCGTGGCTTAACCGATTTGTGGATTAGGCTGTTCTCGGAAGCTTTAAGGTTTAGGAACGGTTAATTAACCTCCCCTAATCAGAAGCCACATCAAGTTCCGCGCAGGCGGTTTGAAGACAGAACAGTCAAAGTGGGCGGGGAGAGCTCAAACATCTTAAGTAGGTACGCTATTCTCGATGCCAGTGAGTGGAACTAAACACTGTCATCCTAAACCAGCACTGTCTTAATTTGTTTTAAAGATTAAATTTTCTAAGCAACCTTGAGTTGTGATTTGTTTCTTTACAAAAAAAAAGGAACGGTATATTATTATTATTTTTTAAAAAAATTATGTACCCCCTTAAAGTGAGTAAATAAACGCAACTTGGGTATGATCGTTCTGCTCACCTTCATTTCAATGTTTTAAACGCGCTGAAGAACAGAACATGTCCAGTCACGCTTTAGGATCGCAGTCTTGGATTTTCGTAGTATAAGCCTCTTGGCTTCCTGTTTGCAGCAGAAAAAGTCTAAGGCTGGGGCCGCACCGTTTTTGTGCATTTTAGGAAAGGTGCATGATGGGACTTTGTGTCCATCCCCTTTCAAGAGGCCAACTTATGCATAACTTTATTGGGTATAAACCTCAGCGAGCTCCTGGCGGGGGGCGAGAGACTAGGCGCAGAGGTGAATTCAAGCTAGCCACGTTGGGTGAAAAGTGCAGCCGTGGGCTGGGTTGGGGAATAAAGGAAGAAGGAGATCCTGTCCCAAAGGTGGTGTCAGAACCACCACCTCCAGTCTTTAGGGATCGCACCAAGTCATTTCTCCACCTGTCACCACTCCCAAAACCCAAGTCGAGGACCTTCTCCCTATTTAAGGGAGATATGCCCCCCACCTTGTCTGCCTATTGCGCTGGATAAATTTCATCTTTTTCTTTCTTTTTTCTTTTTTGCACGTTGGCTTTTCTTTTTCAAACGTGGACCCCGTCTTGATTCCTATCTTCTAAATGTCCGGGCTATTTTCATATCCTGTTTCTTAAGGCTCACGGATGTTGAATTGCAGTTCCAAGGGTCAGCAGAAGTTAAAGGCGGAAAGTAACCTTCCTAAAAAGCGGGGGAGCGGGGAGGAAGGCATGAATCTTTTGTATGAGAGGGGACTTTCAAGAAATTTCATTTTATTTTTAAAGGGTATGTAACCGCTCAAGATGACATGGCTCCAAAAATTGACAGGAGCTTTAATTTGCAAGAAGAACAGGCTGCCTGTTTTATTCCTTATTTTTCCTGAACGGGAATCGCAAGAGATTGTAGTTCTTTAAGCCAAACCACCACTCCGTACCCAGAACAGTATATGCGATAGAAATAAGGGCGGTCTTTCATTTAAGAGCAACCCAGAAATTTATCTGAAAGGCCTTTATATCTAATTCCGTGGGGCTAGAAAAAAACAATCAAAATACTTCTGTCACGGATCCGGCTGCTTTAGGAAGAGTCCCGCCTCAGCGCTAGAGATTCGTGCCGAATAGACCGTAAATCACTTCCAACCCTACCGCGGCGATCTTAAGCGTAATAAATACTACTGAAATCAGCGGGGCGCTTTCCAACTCAAACGCTTTTAGGAGCCAGAAGTTCCTGCACGGTTAAGAGGACCTAGTAGGGTTTAAAGGTATTGCGGATCAGGCTGAGAAATATGCTACTTTCAAGCTCTCTACAGCAACCTTGTTCGGAATTCCCAATATACATGGTAACTATCAAGGGTTTTCTTTCTGAGACGGTGCACTATTACGGCCCCGTTTTTGCGAGTGGGGGAAAATCTCAAAGCCTTTTGAATGCCGACCTGATGGTGCTGAACGGACAGCAGCCGAGTCTTGTGGTGCTGAACGGACAGCTCCTTCCGCAAACTCCCCCTCTCCCGCATCACCGCCTCCTCTACTTTAAGTAATTAATTGCTAACGTAAACAAAAACGTGTTTGTTTGTTTTTTAAATAATATTTCGGGGTTCCCTTGCATTATCTGAGAGTTAGCTAAACAGGAGAAGAGAGAAATTTTGGTTCTCTTCTCGCTCCCTAACTTCGCTTAGTTTGTGCCGACCCGGGCTTAGTTCCCTAACGTTAATAAGAGCGCCTCTGGGCATGTACAGTGGCTATTTCCGCACCGCCGAGTAACCACAGCCAGTCCTCAAGTGCCTGGGGTCCTCGGCCAGGGAGTGCAAGTACCAGGTGTGAGGAACCTCGCTGTTATTATTATTACTACTACTACGTTTTATGTATTAGGAGCAGACTGATCCCTCAGCGTAGGATCCTTTCTGAGGCAGGACGAAAGAAACACTCTCCGTTACCTTCGGGGCCCAGCATTCGACATTCAGCAATGCCGATTATTCAGGAATAGAAATACAACCCTCACCTCCCAAACACGCAAACAAACCAGATCTCTTTGCAGCGTATCCAAAGCTTGCTAAGCCCATTTGCAAATAAAACTTCAAAACCAAATAACTCCAGTTTGCTTTCTCTCCTCGTCAGTCAGACTTCCCCAAGCGGAAATTCATCCACTTAAGAAAAACCTTTTTCTTGGGAGTTCGATTTAAATTATGGCAAGTTTCATTTGCAGGGAAGAAATTCACTTTTTTTGTGAGGGAAGAAGCTTGTCGAGGAAGAAGCATCAACGTCAAATAAACGCCAGGAAAGCGTTTTTATTGTCAAATGACATCAGAGTCCTGTAATCAAAGATTAATTGTCTTAATCAAATAGATCCACCCTCAGCAAATTAAGACGTCGCCAGCAACAAATTATAGGACAATTATAATAGCGCGGAATTGGCAGGGCGGTTGGCTGGCGAGTGAGTTGGTTGGTTGGCGTTTTAGAGTGGGGGGTGGGGAGAACCTAGAAACAGAAGCACAACAATGGAACACTGCGAAGCATCAAGAAAGACAACCCAGAGGCGGCGGAGGCAGGAAGGCACTCAAGACTGGAAGATGACACCTCCATCACCGACCCACCTTGAACCAAGAGATCGTGCGTGGCCGCTGCGCCAGAGAGTCGTCTGAAAATAACAGTCATAAAACAGAAAGCCCGTTTCAAACTCAGTGCCCCTTTCCTCTCAAGACCCTCACCCCTTGCCAAGAGGGTTTTTCGAAGGGAGCGAAGCCCAGCGCTTACCTGCCTCAGCCCCGCAGATTCTGCTTCTGCTTCCCGCAGCCGGGCCAAGCGCCTCTCAGCGCTCGGGCCATCCGAGCGGCGCCTCAGCGCGGAGACTCGACGGAGCTTCCTTCCCGGGCGGCGAGTTCGCAGGCGTCTCTTCGCTGGGGAACTTTGGCAGCAGGCCGTGGCTCTCGCCCTCCCTCTTGTGGGCTGGGGCGGGGGGACGGCGATTGCCCTCTCCTAGGCAGGCGGCAGTAGCAGCAGCAGCAGCCAGCCAGCCAGCCGGCACGCCAGCACGCCGCCTCCACCTCCTCCTCGAGGGCTCTGTAGCTGCTGGAACCAGCCAGCCAGCCAACCAACCAAACTGCCCTCCTCCCCCTCTTAGCTCTTCCTCTCCCCGCCTGGTTCAATCGGAATGCGCTTGGAGAATCTGCTGGCCGAACGAGCGCATTGGTCTCCACTGTAGCAAGCCTCTAAGAAGTCGCAGGGTGAGGACGATGACTCGTTGGGCGATCCTCTGCCTATTTACTCTGAAGTTTAGCTCCACAGCGTGGAACGGGACCCATTCAG